CTGAAACTCTAAGGAATTAAATCCTCACTGGGCTTCCCAGTAAGGAGAAAAACTGAAGAAAAGGTGAAGTGGAAGAACACAGGTAAACACAAGCTGAGCAAACACACAAAGGAACAGTAAAAATTTGTCAAGGCACATATATTGACTAGACATACGCTTAACAGATGCAAGACTTTAAAACTCAATTCTCCAGCCAGCACAAATCTATTCTATAAAACAATACATCAGTGCCATGTTCCAGAAGCTGTCTTGTTCTCCACTAAGTTTGTTATCCGAGAACTAACAGCAATACTTTCCTCAATGCTCTTCTGAGTACAGAGGCAAGGTCCAGTACATTATGAAGAGATCTAAACCTCTTACTCAGAGGTAATAAGAGCACCCCAAACCTTGCAATAGGAAAAATAATAACAGTTATATTGAATAGATCCTTCAATTTCTAAGATATCTGTGAGTTACTTAACTTTTCTGCATTCACTGTCAGAGCAGGATTAATACCATGGTAAAGAATCTGTAAACCTTGTTTTAGAGTATCCTTCACCAAAGAACTAATAACTTCATACTGAACAGTGGTCTTTGCTAGAGCTATGACACATCTTTGCTTTTTACCTTCACAACTTTGTGAGGACGAAGGGGTTACAGACTCATACTAAGCTCTGTACATTAGGTTGCAAACTGCAGTTCCTTGCTTAGATGCCAAGAGGATTTGAGTCACATGTTCAGTAAAAAGCTGTGTTCCAGAAAATTCACTGTGAGAAAAAGAAGACTCATGACTATATGAACATGGTTTCTTTTCAGAAAAAAAATTGCACCAAATACTGTTAGGTAAGAAGTGCTGTGGCTTACCCGTCCAGAGGGAAAACAATAGCCTTGATTTAGAAACAAGCACAGGCTTCTCTTTTCCTCAGCATAGAGGAAACTTACCACATTCAGTGTCTATCAATGACTTCTAGGATAAGATCACCAGCCAGGCAGCTCTTCAAGAACAGAAGAACCAGCTTAATTTGTCCATTCCCTCTAACGAATCACGACACCACATCTGAGAGACTCAAGTCAAAATTCCCATCCCAGATAAATGTGAAGGCATTTCCAAACCTTGTCCCCAGTACGCCAAAGCAGCTGGACCAAAACCAGCCGCCCAGATCTCCAGCTAGCATTCCTCCCATGGGGACAAAGTCTTATCACCATCTTCTAGGCAACTTGATCATACTCTGGACATCCTCAGCTGCAATGAAGATGAATGAACTTGGGCAAAAGCCACAATTACCTAGATGATTCGCAAAGCCTATGATTCTTAAGTACAGAGCTTGAGTATTTCTGCTTGAAGCTCCTGAAGGGCAAGGAATCTTAACAGCAGTCATTCAAAGAGAGCAGCCTACCCTCCCAGAGGCAATCAGGTACAAGCCCAGATCAAAGATCAGATAAAAGCTGTTGAAAAACACGTTCTGATCAACATTGTATGTCTCCCTTCACCAAATAAAAACCTGCACTGTTTGAAGAAGATACTGAATTCTCACAAGCATTTCCAATGGACAGACAGACAAAAAAAAAAAAAAAAAAGCTATTTTGGGCAAACTGGGATGTTTGCCAGACATCCTTAAAAACATTCTCAAAGTATTACTTTACGCAGAGCTCTCCTATCAAATTCACTGCTTCATTTCTGGCACCTATCACTGTAAAGATTACGCTTGTCACCTCTTCTGAGACAGACAGCTGCTCTAGAAATAGTTACAGCAGTTACTGCTGCTCATCTGGAGGTTACTAAACTCTTCTGATTCACATTAAACAAACCATGTGTCACCCCACTGCAGTACAAAAGCAGCTGACAGCTTTGAACTACCCCTGCAGATGTCAGTGACATAGGAGACCAAAAGTACTGCAGCATTAACTGGGGAGAACAGTGAAGTCACAATTTATGGGCACTGGCTAAGCAATCACAAACACTGACTTACGATCTGTTCTATACACACCTGCAAAAGCTCATCTGTCTGCACTCTACATTGCTCTTCCCAAGGCTACAGCTGAACTGCTAGTCTTTGACAGGCTAACCCGGACGCTTAAAATCAGCTATCTTATTTCAGATTATTGTGAAGCCAGCTGGTTTTACTCTGGACTGCATGAACTGACAGCAATGCATTTTCACTTCACAGCAGTATGGGCAGCCAGTCTTTACCTTCCATACCTTCTCTTTACATCATACATTTACCCAGTTTTGCTTCCTGCCTTACCACGCTTTCTCTGCATTGGTCCTGCACTGTTGTCAATATGAGCCCTCAGCCTTATACTGAAAACCTTGTAGCCATAATTCCAACTACCTTTTAAATATGCACCAATCGCCTATGGAGATTTGAATCCAACTGTTCTCCAATTTACACCTGTTTTATATTGATGTTGAAGGCACTGGGGTAAAATAGCATCCATTCAGTGACACCCAGAACTGAACAGCATAAAGCACATGAATCCTACAAGTAGCAGTTTTTTTGACTTTCAGGCTTGAAGGAATTGGTATAGTCTATGTTCTAGTGAAATAACTGTTATACCTTAAGATCCTTTATTGATCATGGATTATCTATCTCATTCCATTGTTCTAGTGCTAATTTGTTTCATTTAACTCTCTAACAGAGATGGTTGTCTTAGCCCAATTTTAATGTATAAAACTACTACACACAAACCAGGGAAAGAATCTGAATTTACTTTTTTTTTGTTATCTATAAACACAGCAAGAAATCTTCAACTGAATTCCAAATTCTACAGTGCTTTAAATTTTCTTAGGGGCTTGCAGACTAAAGACTTCTGAATCACTGCTTCACATGATAACGCCTGTAAAATACTATTTTTTATAACAATGAAGGATTTGAAATAAAATGGCTAGAGAGAATACAGTTGGGGGGAGGCTGCAGAAAAGAATACACTAAGAACACTTCTAGCTGTGAATGTTTAAACTGTTACATTATCTGTTATTTAATGGTAACTCATTTTTGCATCAGACATTATCAAATCTAACAGGACTGGTATCGTACACCTGCAGACCTATGTACTAAATAGCCATCTTCTAATCATTTGCCAGTCTGTACAGTTTCATCCCTCCACAGAAATCACACCTTACTGTTGTGGTCTGCTTAAAGCCAGACTTTTCAGAAAGAGTCAGCATCTATAATCTTTATATTCAAACTATGTACAGTCCAACTGAGTAGAATGTTTTTACACACACGTAAAAATGTGTTTATACTCATTTTTACAACCAATACAGGAAATTCTGTGTACATCAGCAGACAGGGGAAAAAAAATAATAAAAAAAAGATATCCCTAACTAATGCTACAGACAAAGTTTTCCCTGCATCCTGAAAAGACTCAAAAATGTGCTTAAAACCACGGAAGGTTTTTCAAGTGAAATATGAGTAACCTGATTGGAATCGTGTTGTTAAATTCAAACCCCATTTAAACATAGCAAGAAAACTTTAAAAAGTATTCCAAAAACAACACTGACGTGTAAGTTTCTTTCCTTGTTACCTGTTAGTTTAATCTAAGCGCCTTGGCTTGACACTTTGTTCTTTATAAATACTCTCAAATAAAAGCCATTAAAAAAATAGTTTTTGTTCAATCCAAGACTTTTAGGATACAGCTGGCCCTGTGTTCTGACGCTATTATTGCATTTATCATCCTGAAATAAGCCTTTGAACAGAGCTGGACAGGACAACTTACTTCAGTGCTTTCCAGACCCTTCATTTTTCACAAGAAGTTCAAACTGAAAGTTTTTTTTTCCCCTCCATTTATTTCATAGTAATCAACTTCTACTACATACTTTCTCGACTATCTGTGGTTTTGGTAGGTAGATTACTAATTGAGGTAATCACCAATTAAACTTTTTGTTTTGGTAAAAATTCTTAAATTCTTTCATCATCTCCTTATTAGCTCACGTTAACCGGCTCCTCCCCTCACCCTGCACTTGAACACCAAGCCCAAATATACTTCCCCAGGAGGCCTGCACAAGCTGCTACTGAGACTGCTTCAAGGACAAAACACCTGCCACTTCCCACTTCACAAAAATAAGATTTTAAGTCTCAGCATGACCTCCAGCATGCATCTCTGACATCGACAGCTCACCTACCATTCTTTAATCAAAATACATACTTTCTAATTACAGCAAATTATCACAGGGCTATTACAGATGTACAAGAGAAACATACAGTGGTCCAAACAAGTAATGTTATACTATCTTCTCCTTCCCTGACCCTCCCTCATCCACGCCTCCTTAAGTTTTATAAAATCCTGGTGCCTTACATCTCACAAAACATCTTTCAGTTGATCGCATAAGTGATTTCAGTGGTTATGACTCCAAGACAAAGTAATAAGCATTAAATTAACACAATTGCCAAAAATGCAAGAGTAACATGTTTGTAAGCTTAGAAATACCTCAGTTGTAATGCTACTAGCAGCTATATTTTACGTATATCCAATTTTCCAGTAAAATGGTGTAAACAAATGTTTGGTTAGCAAAGCAGAAATACTGCACCAACTGCAACTTCATCAACAAACTTCAGAAGGTCATTTCAGTGAGGCATGCGCTGTTAAAGAGCCCAGGTTTCTAAATTTCAAGCCAACTAGACTTTAAAGTAAGTGCACTTTCATAGTATAGAACCAGAACAAACCATGTCCAAACTACAAATTCAAATTTTTATAAAAATTAAGGTTTAACATTTATTTTACATCTAGCTTTCCACATCCATGTGGGGACAAGGAATCAGAATGTACATAACTATAAGCAGTGCAAAAGTGGTGCCAGTGCGAAGTCACAGATGCACAATAAAGTGATAGTACAAGAATAGAGAAAATGAAGCTATGGATGTTAAGAATAAAAACCAAAAAAAAAAAACAAAACAAAAAAAACCCGAAAACACCAACACAGAAAAATATGAAGGAAGAGGGGAGGAAAGAGGAGAGCCAGATATTTAATAATGCCCTTGTTGCTGCAAAGATAAACTAATGGCACAAGACAATGTTTATTGTAGAACAAAAATCCAATAGCAATGAGTCTTTATTCACGTTTAGTCACCTGACATGAGGAAAGTGTCTGTTGCATTAAAATAGTCATCAATGGAAATGGCAGCATGGCTGAACAAGTCCTCTTCAATGGTAACAAACATCCCACATAGTAAAGTCACTTCAACACAGCCTCATGACAATTCCCACATCAAAACAGTACTTTATTTTATATTTTTTTGCCTCATCATTACTCCCACATTAAGATCTTTCAGCTGTCAAGTGTACAAGGTGAAGAAAAAGGTTCTCAGTCAGCAAACATGGGTGCATCAGGAAGTATCTCCACAATACACCACTTCAGATCTGCTGGGTCCCAAGTCCATCCCCGAACGCTGGGCTCCCAGCACCACGTGTAGCACACTACTAAGGCTACACTACTACATTAGCTTATTAATTCTGCATACATCAGGCCGAACAATGTGTCAACCTGCAACAGACTGAGCATTATAACTGAAAATGGCAAAAGATTCACTCTATTGAACTTTAACATCATTATTTGATGTTAAACAATGAGGCAAATCCCAACAGTATATACAAAAACCAGCTTTGCTTTTACAAAAGATTTTGTTTCCCATATTGATTAATCCAGGCAGCTAACTCATTGGTTTATGCAACTTTATTGAAGAAAATAAATCAATTACTAGTAGAGCTATTAGTTGATCACTCATCCATTGACAACTTGCATCATTTATTCAGTGCTATATTAAACAGTGTTTTGGAAGACAGATTAACTAATAGCTCCAAACCTCCTAACAAAATTTAAATGAATTACAAAAATGTTCTTAGACCCTATTTTGGAATACAAGGGATGTTTGACTTCCAATTTCCATTCTCTGTAAAACAAGAACTGGTCATTCCTTTATTGACATGCATAAGATACATCACATTTTCTGTTCTGCTGATGCTATAGATTCAGTACCAATTCTCCAGACATATCAGTTATGAGCAAAAGTATATAATAAAACCTCAGTTCTCTAACACTGGCAGGTTTGGAACAAGATGGATGTTGCTACAGCAATGTTACTTCTTACATGGGAGAAAACTGAACATCCACCTCCCCCCCCGCCCTTCAGGTGATATCTTCAGTATCTGTTAGAGCAGTGAGGAATGTTTGTTTGTTTTTAATCTCATAACCAAGTTAGAATGAAGACATTGGCCACATAATACACATGCTCCATTAAAAAAAAAATTCTGAATTTTGGGCAATTGTTCTTGTGTAACTACTTTACAGATTCTAAAAGCAGTTATTGTCCAAAGCTGGAAGAACTAAAGTCTTCTCAGATGAGCATGTGCATGAATGTAAGGAGGTAAACAAAAAAATAAAAAAGATGAGGTCTGATAGGGGAGCAGCCGGATAAGAAAATCAAAAAGGGAACAGTAATTTAAAGTTTATTCCAGCTATAATGCAGGTTATTCTGACTTTAAGGTAGCATCACATGGCATACTTCTGAGTCCATTCCCGAGATATTCTGTTGTACCTGTAAGCAAAAAGAGGAATTGAATTAGTGTCAGCATGAAAACAACAATTTCCTAAACAGTTAATGATTAAGTATCACTTTACCCATATCTTCCTATTCTCTTCACACTAAAAGCAGTCTCTTTTTACATTAAGATATACTTGAATTGAAAAAACTGAACAAACCCCTCCCTAGACTAACTAGGATATTCTCTAATTTATATGAAACACTTGAAATTCGAGACAAGCAGATTTGCTAGAACTCTGTTGTGAAAAGCTACTGAAGGGGAAGGAATAGAGACCACCTAGGGTAGGAGAGGCAAGGGTAGAGTTTTGTTTAAATATTGTCTTTAGGTAAAGATTACACAGTATCACATGCCATAAGTAAAGATTACTTAGTTAATAATATCATTGGATACAGAATGTCAAATTTCCCACTTCAGAGTGCAACAACAGTAATAATTTCCTCACACTTAATATTTTCTTTCCATATGAAAATATGGTTCAAACAATTTTTAAAAAGGACATTAAAAGAATATAAGTACACTACTTCCATAGGAATTGAGCTGACAATTAGTTTGTACTTAACTCCATGCTTGTCAGTAAGAAGTTAATTTTCAACTATACAAGCAGAACATAATCCCCATATGTTTTCCTGGTCTATATGTAAAAGACAGACACTGCTGAATAATAAGTTTAAATCTGGATTGTCTAAATTCACCCATGTCTATGCATGAGGTCTCACTACAGGGAATCACTTTGAATGAAATTCTGACAAAATCTGGGTAAATACTTACCAGAACAATTTGACAAGCTGACTGAAAACCCAGTAATTATTTCATACTTTTTTTTTTGGCCATGCAAGAGCAGTATCTGTGAGAAATAGTGACTAGCCAATACACTTCACACTAACCACAGATCAAGCTGTTAAATATCCAAGTTCAGTAACTGGTACATCCATTATCTGTTAGTTAATCCAGTGCCTTAGAGCATGCAGCACCCAAGTGCTGACAAATTTCCATTTCGTCAAATGCACCATAATGTGCAGATATTCTTACCCTACAGCATAGCGTATTTCTCTGTCCACTCTCTTGCTAACCTATTGTACCTAATTGGACAAGTATATTTACCGTTAATATATATGTATATATATAAAACAAAGTCTATTTCATATAATTCTATCTGTGCAAGATGTTAAAAACACACAAGGAAAAAAAAAGTTGTTTCAACACAGATAGGAAAAGAGTTATGAAGCCTTTTTTCAAGAGGAGCACCAAAATTAAAGGTCAAGCTGCTACCAAAAGAAATCACCAAAATAAAAAGCTGTATTTTCCTCAATATGAAGAACTAAGTATTTATGCATGGGAAGCAAAAAACTGGGTGATAAATACTTTAAAATACTGCTACGCATACAAGAAAAAGACAGTCTCCTTCATCCACAACTTCCAAGATACCAAGCCCCTTTGTTTTTAAATTATGCACCACCAAGAACAGGTAATTCTTCAACACACAAATTCTCTCCACCCTGGATTTTCACAAAAGGCTTACTCAACACAATTGCTGTCTGACAATGCAATCGTACAAAGTTTCTTAAAATATTAGTCTTAATATTAAGTCTCCGTACTTACTTGTCTCTGTCTGTTTTATAGATACGTGCAATCTCTGGCACTAGTGGGTCATCTGGATTTGGATCACATAACAGTGAACAAATGGATAAGAGAACTGTAAAAAAAAAAATTCTCAATAGCAAAACAGGAGCAACAATTTCAGAAACAATGGAGATCTTTGCATTAGCACCATGTCAGCACAGGAGAGAACCTCAAAAGCCTTTTCCTGATGTATAGCAAAAATAAATTTGTAACCTGCTCTAAATAAAAAGTCCAGAATGACTTAAAATTTTGTAAGAACTATTTATTTCCAATTTCCCAATACTTACAGCTGTTGGTAAACACAGATGAGAACAGCACTGTTGTCCCCTGCACTATGATGCAACACAGCAGCCAACAAAAGCACATTTTATTACGTATTCTGATGACCAGCATACTCCATGGTTTTAATCCCTAAAACTAGAACTTCCTCAAATTATTTTTTTTTTTAAATCAGATTTAATTATTTCTCCGTTATATGTAAGGTACCAATACCCTGGTCTGCACTGATAAAGCTACACACAGTGTAAAATAAAGGAGTAACACTGCTGTAGGCAGCTACGAGGACTATTCTCTACTCTCACAGCAGGTTTGAAAGAAAAACAGTAGTGACAGAATTGAACTGTAGGGAATCGACATTCAAATCACAAACCTACTCCTTGGAGAGGTAGTAATTACAAGTTCTATAACAGATGAAGGAGCACTTTGGTGGATCTTCTGAAGCCAGTGACTAGTGGCATTGAGACAAAACCAAATTTAATAATTGTGAAAATATTTGAGAATTAACTGTTATTTACAATAGTAAAATGAGGAAAACTATAAAGCTTCTATTGCAGCACAACATCAATTTATCCTGAAGTAGAAGCAGTAAGCTTAGTTCATGAAGTAACATAAGACACTGCCAGTGCAGACTGGCAGAAAGCAACATGTATCAATAACAGTCTTCTTTTGTTCATCTACCACAGATATGCCAATATCATTCTGCATGCAATTCTAGACAGACTCAGCCAAAAAACTATGCAGATTTCATTATCAAAAACTGACTTTAAATTAATCTGTAAGTGCGTATCTACCTGGACAGCTGCAAACAAGCAGTTTCTCACCCTCAGCTCAAATACACCACCACAGGCCTGTTTCAATCCAAATGCTGGCAGATTCCTCTCGGACCAAGCTAGTAAGCTCTGCTAAGAATACTGAAGCAAATAAGTGTCCAGACAAGGCCTTAAACAGCCATGTAGCAGAAGGTGTTAGAAAAAAACAAATATCCATTAAAAACGCAGTAAGATATCATGATCAAATTGGCAAAACACAGGCTAGAATGAGTAAGGGAAATCAAGAGACAGGTAATAACTCAAGACAATCAAAGCTAAAAGCACAGTATTCAACACAGGATGGAAACATTTCTCCTTCACAAAAGTTACCTTTAGAAATAGTTAAAGCAGGAGACCACTGTGATCTTAGAATATCAAGACAAATGCTGCCATTACTGTTAATATTTGGATGATAGATTCTTGTTGTAAATGCAACCTGCAACAAAAAAAAAATATGCAGAACATGTTTCAGTCTATAAGGACGACGATGTCACCCTTTCTTCTCATTCAAGCTATTAGACAATTTACTTTCCAATTACCAGGCAGTCTATTTCAAACAGAGAGAGAGGGCAAGTATGACATTGTGCTTTAATCACAGGTGTCTGCATTGTGACGAAGACACTCAACAGATGTGCTGGAACCACGGTAACACTGCTATCACAGAGCTAAAAACTTCAAACATTGCGGTCACTCCAAGTGTGCACTTTCATATTGACTGAAAATTGGAAGACAATGCTAGTGGCTGATACAGTTAACAAAAGCTTATTTCAGAATTACTGCCAAATTCTAACAGATACCATCTTCACTGATTTTAGACACTCAACAAGTTAATCTCTATCCAGAGTGTCACATTCCTACAGACCCAAACAGCGACACTGTAATACTTAACACTCTCCTCAGCAAGAACTCTATTATAGTAACAAAAAGCTAATGAGCTCTCCTATCAATTAAGAAAAACAGAAATAAAACCAAACATAATTCCAAGACACTTGGCACTCACATATATGAATGTGCTCCTAAAATATATGCTAACACGCCTATTCTTGTGGCAGTCAGAGAGGGACCTAGCCATCTAATATAATGTAAGAACACGAACAGAAGAGAGAACTTGACAATATTACAATACAGATGCTGACAATTTCTGTCCCGTACTCGCTTCTTTAGAGAGCACTCATTTCACAAATGAGAAAGCAATACTTACCTTAGGTGGTTTGAAAGGGTAGTCTGTAGGAAAGTGAATTGTCAAGAAGAATACACCACCCTGATATGGACTGTCATTCTGTCAAAGCAAACAAATAATTCTCCTATTATCATCTTTAGGACTAAGTATCACTGAAGATGCTGTTTTTAAATAAATAAAAGGAGAGGAAATTTGTTTAAACAACTCAGGTGTTTAATCCACCAATACAAGAGATGAAATTAAAATTCAGTTTGACATCCTAAAGTAAGCGATACAGAACAGGCACAGGTCAGTTCCTGTGCGGACCTCTGCGAGCTAATGCTTCATAGAAAACAGCTTCTCTGGCAATCCACTCAGCACAACTTGACAAAAGCATCCAAATGCCTCTGAATCACTCCAAGAAGTAATGTTAACAGAACAAGGGTCCCATCAGGTTCAAAAAACCTCAGGTTCTGTGCTTCGAGCTGATTTGTTACAACAACCGAAGTTTACGGTGGCCATGGACAGCTCTAAGGGCCTCCCATTCCCTCCCAATACTCTCCTTGGCTTAGGCGTTGCTCAGCCCTGCAGAAAGCCTATGAATACACAGCTAACTCCTTGTTCCCTGCAAAAAACACCCCTCCCACCCCCCAAAAAACCCCAGCCTACCAGCACCACCAAACAAAAGAAACCCCATCAAGATTAAAGTGAATTCTCTCTCCCATTCTGTATTAGAAATTCACTGTAATTCCACTGTATGGAAGAGTATTTTACATTTCCCTGCTCCAAGGAAACAAGTATGGGGATAATTCATTCAGGTGTCAACTACAAATAGTAAAGCAAGATGGGGAAGTAAAAAAGCTGATAGTAACCAGAGAATAAATGAGTGACTAAAGAGGGACTGTGTCAGTTACTAGCTATGGGAAGAAAGATGTAACAAGTTTTTACTTGAAACTACAACTAAATTTCTGAAAGAGCTAACAATTTCCTTGTTTAACCTGAAGACTACAATGCTTCTAATTCCAGATTCAGGGCTAGGGCAAATGAACTTGAGATACAAAGAGTACACTTCTGAATTATTCATAAATTGCATTTTCCTGTTAACTGCAAGTACATTTCACCAATGTAAGGAAACCAGAAAATAAAATTCTGCAACACGAGATAAGGGACTCAAACCTGAAAATATGTCGGTTATACCCTATCCAATATCTGCTGAAGACCTAGCGATCAAGATATAACCTCTTGTATTTGATCAATAGATACTATGTGAGGCCTTGAGAAGACAGAAAGCAACCCTTTTACTGCATGTATTCTGGGGAAACATTTTAGCAATTACAGAAACCCCTCTTAGAATGTGTTAAAACAATGCAAGCTCTCTTAGATGCCTGTATAAAATCCTGTTGCAGAGGTGGAAGGCCAGATGATTGGTTCTACAATCCTCATGTGTTATTAAAAGTACTAAGTAACACAGAGGAGCACCAGAACCACTAACACCACACTTCTGTCACGGTACTGCTGAATCTTGAAACAGGAATGGAGACCTTTTGACACCACAAAAACCATACGGGGAAAAAAAAGGAGCTGTACATTATTAAACCAGAAGAGGAAGCTAAAAATAATCATCCCAATTTAAATTCAACTGATGTTTAATCTTTTTGAGGCACCTGGTTACAATCAATGAGGACCAGGGACTTTGGAATGGAGACCCATTTTCCCAGTCAAGTGAACCTCTAATATATATATACAGTCAGGGCAATTCAGCACCACTGATATTTAATTCCTACTCTGTATCCTCACCAAAAGCATCACATTGTGGCTTCAGGTTCACTGGTGACCAAAATTTGTCTTCTCAAGTGACAGGTTTTGTTTTCTGAACATAGATAACCAGCCCTGAGAACTCCAGATGTCAAGTGTTTGCAGGTTACATTTTCAGTAAAAGCAAACATTTGCCTTCTTTACTCTAAACAAGGAAAAAGTCACATTCATGTTTCAGACACTCATTGAACATTTAATACAGACTTTTTTCCTCCAGTCATAACTGGAACCTCACATTTCAGTGACTTTTTCCCTTCTATTCCTAGAAGTATTCATGATCTCAGTACATGACACCAGACCAAATAAGGATTCTCTGTTAAGATCCACACAAAAGCATCCCTACTAATTCCTGACCCTGGGACTAGCTCCTTGTACAAAGTCCATGCTAGTTTCAAACTTTAGAAAAAGCTAAATGCAAACTAATTTTCTAGATATTAAGTAGTAACGCCTAACATTGCTCTAGAGATCATTTCAGCTGAAATACATGTCCTCATAAAACATTCCAGCAATAAAGTAATCAGACTGATTTTTTTTCCCCTCCTTCATTTTATGTTCCCTGTTAAGGAGTACCTCTAGAACTAAAGCCTGATAAGGGGAGCTAAAAAAAAAAAAAGTAAACACCCCCCTCCCAGTTTCCACCTGAATAAGAATTACTAGCTTAATATTACATCACAAGAATTAGAATACTTACAGGTCCCATAATTGTGGCTTGCCAATGAAACACTACAAAAGAAAAACTCCACATTATTATCTATGCATGATATGTTTTGAGTTAGCAGACAAAGAACTTAAGGCTACTTACTGTCATCTCCAACAGGACCTGCTGAAATCACGGGCTAAATCACTAAGTTCCTTTAGGAAAAAAAGAACAAAAAAAAAACCTGTTCAGAGAAAGGACTGATGAACTCAAGTCATTTTCACTTCACATCCTGCAAAAACATTTAACAGTTTTTCCATATACAAACACAGAAGAATGTGTAATAACAACTATTAGAACCACTAGATCAGTATCAAAAATGTCTTTATCAAAACCGGTTATAAGGGTAAACAGCTACAATGACTATGCTTTTCCAAATAAACATACTACTGCCAAGACACCCCTGCTGCAGAAGGGACAGAAAGCAGAGCAGGACACAAAGACTGAAGTGGGCAAAGCCTAACCACTTTCTGATCTACATTTTTGAGGATTCAGTCATAGCTAGAGAAGCCTCAAGCGGCAAGAGAAAAACCTATTGATGAGTCTTCATGACACAGAAAACACTATGTATGTAACAAGCACAAATACAGGCTGGGTGGAGAATTAATTGAGAGCAGCCCTGAGGAAAAGGACTTGGGGGTGTTGGTGGATGAGAAGCTGAACATGAGCTGGCAGTGTGAGCTGGCGGCCCAGAAACCAACCGTGTCCTGGGCTGCATCAAGAGAAGCATTAGCAGCAGGTCGAAGGAGGTGATTCTCCCCCTCTGCTCTGCTCTTGTGAGACCCACCTGGAGTGCTGTGTTCAGATGCGGGGCCCCCAACATAAAAAAAGACCTGAACCTGTTGGAGAGAGTCCAGAGGAGGCCACGAAGACAGTCAGAGGGCTGGAGCACCTCCTGTCCAAGGACAGGCTGAGAGAGTTGGGGTTGTTCAGCCTGGAGAAGAGAAGGTTCCAGGGAGACCTTACGGCAGCTTCCAGTGCTGAAAGGGGGCTACAGGAGAGATGGGGGGCTCTTGATCAGGGAATGTGGTGACAGGACAAGGGGTAATGGCTTTAAGCTGGAAGAGGGTAGATTTAGATGAGATATTAGGAAGAAATTTTTCACTGTGAGAGTGGTGAGGCAGTGGCCCAGGTTGCCCAGGGAAGCTGTGGATGCCCCATCCCTGGAGGGGTTCAAGGCCAGGCTGGATGAGGCTTTGGGCAACCTGGGCTAGTGGGAGGTGTCCCTGCCCATGGCAGGGGGTGGAACTGGATGGGCTTTAAGGTCCCTTCCAACCCAAACCATTCTGTGATTCTGTGATCTGATATTAAAACTCAGAACAGAAAGGGAAAAAAAAAAACTAACACAGAAACTCCAGTTTCATTTTCCCCGCTACCTCCAGCAGGGATATATCTTGCACAGATTAAAGTATGTAGGAAAATTAAAGAGGCTGACAAGTGTTGGAATCAGGCATAATATGTCTATTTTTTATTTTAAACTTCACATTTAAGACAATTATGCCTTTAAAATTATGAACAACTGAGCTGCAGAAACAGTTCCCTACCACCCGCATTACAAAGGGAATGAAAACAGAAACTTCGATGGAAGATTCCTTGTGTAATATCAAGATTGCTGTGATGAATCAAAGCAGCCCAGCACTAATTTGTTTAAATGCTCTGCAAGTTATTGTTTGGACAGTGTCTTTTAAAATTAAATTAATACTTTCAGCTGATGTATGTATCAGATACCTTCCCTCTTCCCTGTTCTTTTGAATCTAAAAATGGTTTCAGGAGCTTCTATAAATCTGCACTCATGAAGGCATCTATAAGTTACAAGAAAGGGAAAATCATTCGGTCCCTCTCCCATACATTCACAGTTTCACAAAAGTTATTTTGCTACAAGTCTATACAAGCCATCAAAACAAGAACTTTCCATTACTTTGTCAGACATTTAAGAAAGCCAGGCATACCTATTATGCTGGAGACACAGATCTGGAGCAGACAGCTAACTGTTTTGCCTGGGATGGTCCTAATGTACATCCTTTAAGTTTCAGAAGTTTTGCACTTGATAAAAATTTACTAACAGTAAGCCAAGACAAAATGAAGGAAAAAATTACGTTCCCTGTAACTTAAAGACCTTATTCTTTGGTAGAGTGATAGCTTGTGCAAACACTTAAGAGAATAACACTACTTCAACACACAGAAGTCATACACAAAAAACAAAACAAAACAAAACAAAAAAAAACCCCAAAAAAACAAACATAAAAAACCCACCAAAAAAAACTAGTCCTACATTTCCGCTCCTTAAACATGCTAACTTTGATGAACTTTCCAATTAATCAGATTTCAGCTTTGCACTGGAATAAGACTGTATTGTAAAACACAATTGTATCAGTTTTCATAAGCAATGGCACACTGAAGTTAATATTACAGCTCATTTCACTGCTGCTGTTATTTAGAAGCATGTGCAACAGTTCTTTCCAGATCATCACAGTAAATCCATTTCAAGGGCATTTCTATACACTCCCCAGTTATTATTGGGAGTCCCCATGATAGACTTATTTCTGCCAGGAAATATCACTTACTAGGTCCATATGTTGTTCAGCACTCTCCAGAAAAATTTGCTAAGTCAGATTTATATTAACCAAAGGCAAACAAACATAACAGAATCTTCAGACAGAAGGTTTTTCTAATTTTCAGGGTGGGGTACTTTTTTCTTCCATTTAACAAATACAGCAGGTTTTGTAAATCAAGCTTATTTCTCATCTAAAGATATTTTCCAGTTCTAAGAATGATCAATTGTTTCCAAAATCAGAGAGAAAGAGTTCCACTGGATCTTTTGTTCCTTAAAACAAGTTGTAGCAACAGAATAAACAGGAAGACACTAACGTTTCTATTCTAATGTAGTTGTATAGTTATTACTGGATGATTTAATGGGGGAAGATCAGATCCTATTTTTTAAAAAACTATCACAGGGACTGAGAACTATGAAAAAGCTTTTCAAGTAGTTTATGAAAACTATAAAACTGAATAGTATTAAGACAAGGAAGGACAAGAAAAGACCAGCATAAAGTGACAGAGTTACATGTGCATTAGACTGGAGAGCTCTTCAAAAGGTCCTATAAACTTCAGAGGAAAAAGAAATCGGTACTCAAGATAAAAATAAGGTATTTTAACACAGAAAGAAAATTCGAGTATATCAATAAGTCAAATAGGAAAAGCAAACACAAGTAGGATTGTAAGACAAATATTAAATTTACTAAGTTCTGGTGAAAAACATGTGCAATAATGTTAAGAACAATTTACAAGCTGAAACACATGAGTTTTAATATTTCAGTCTCCAGTAATTTCAAAAATGTGTCCATACAGAGTTAACACCTTTTAACGACCTGAACTGTTCTAGAGAACAAACAAGCAGTGATTTGCATAAGCTAAAGGACTAAAGTTTTGGCTGGCCTGAAACACTTCAGTAAAAAAAACCTAATTGTGCTAAACAAAGCAGTTCAAAATCCAGATGAGGTTATGAACACATGATACACCACTTAGCATTTCAGCCACAGAGCAAGTAACGTACCCACTAAATTCAGAAATAAAAAAGCAGAGGTGGCAGGCATTCTTTCATTTGCTTCTCTTAGGTACTAACTACAGTCAGAAAAGTGGTTCGTAGTAAAGCTGTTTGCTCCAGCAGAGCATCAAGTGTTGTGGAAAACTTGGGCAAACATGAAACAAGCACTGGCAAGCTCTACCCGCTGACAGTAACACCAGACCTATTTCACCTCCCCGTTAAAAGTGTGCAACACTTCACATCTACACAAGAGGAGGGAGGCTTTTTGCAACAAGGCAGCAGAAAGTCCTCTCTGCATAACTTTAAAAAAAGCACCTCCTTCTGAAAGCTACATCTCTGCTGAATCCAACAGGCAAACTGGAAACTAACCAAGCAGAGGCACATGGGCTGTGACATTTGGAGCACAGTTGAAGCATTTCATTCAAGGAAACGGAGATTTTTTTTTTTAAAGCTTCCCACTCAGCACCAGAAACACAAACTGACCTCCCTTCTCGGCGTAGCAATCAAGAGCAACTATTCTATAACAGGAAACTATTCAATCTGAAAAATATTTCTGACAGCAAAACCAGGCTTGATCATTTCCACCAGCTGAGTAAAAAAAAAAAATTAAGAAATCAGGTCATAATTGTTCCCCCCTGCTTTCACCCATTTCTCACCAAGGTAAAGACCACGTTAAGTTTAATTTTACAAAGCAGAGTTTAACTAGTATTTTAGAATTTAAAAATGCTTCTAAACATTGTTCTGTAAAATTTCTACATGTACAGGCTTTATGCTCCTAATATTCCTTCTGCTGCACTACGATCTCCAACTTTGCTTCTTGTTTACATTCAATTTCAGTAGTCCTTTCTTTCATCAAGAGGTACTAAACTACATCTCAAACTTTCTTAAATATCCCCAAAGTAGAACCCACGTTTTCTTCGAGTCAGCTGCTATGGTTTTTCACTTTACAGGTGGCTTAAGAAAAAAAATACAAATTCCCAAGAAGCAAAATTCCAAAGACTTCACATAGAAACAACAAGCCAACTCTGGTTCAGAGTGATGTTTATGTGCCTATTGGAAAGGATTAGTCTTGAATTACAACAGTGACCAGTAGTCTCCAGCACTGCCAGAGGTTTCCGGTATAGCTCCAGCATATCATCATTTCTGTGTCCCAGTTTCCAAATATAAAGTTGCAATAGTTCCTACCTCTCCACAGGGATGATTAGTCACTTAGCATTTTACAGTTTTGAACACTCTTTAAGGAGTAAGCAGCAACGCTACTGTTAGAGGAATACGGCCACGTAGAATAGACAAGAAGATATAAATGTACAATTTTGCGATACAGTTTTAGAAAACAGAGAGGTAACTGGAAATACAGCAACAGCAACTGTCACTGCAACAGACAGACCTGCTTTAACACAAATTCAGCACTATAGCCTTCTGCCAGTTTCACATTAAGTCTGTACTAAGACATAGTTTTATTGGTGAAACAGCCATGTTCTTCATCTTCTTTTCCTTCTCTAAA